GTTCTGACCCTACTTCCAGAGATTTTAATCTAGTAAATCAAGAATGAGAACTGGGAATATGCATTTTAGCATGGGGTTCTCAGACAAGTGGTCCAGGAATTGCCTGTACATCAAATGCCATCTTCAGGGAGAAATTGTTTTTTCCTGTATCTTACACTGGTATAAAGGTCCAGGCTCAGACTGGAGTCATAGGTCACCATCTGTGGGCCTGTATTTGATTCAGATGATCATAGAGTGTTATTGATGTGAAAACTCTTTATGCTGGGGAGGTAGAAGCAGGGATATGACTGGTCAGGGGCTAAATCAGACAAAAGGATCACCTCCTTTTTTCCCCCTCTTTGATGTGGGCTGCTTGCAAACAAAACTGGTCATATCATGAAGTTGAAAATTAAGTATAAATGTCTTGGTCTTAAATTCCAGCCACTTAGTAATGTGGCCTTGGCCTTAGAGTCTACCACATCCCTTCATTTTTCAGACATCTCAACAAAACAGTACATACGATGTCTTCAAGTGTAAATTTAGATGAATTGGCTTATAGGATTAGTTTAGTCTAAATTATTAAGTCTCTTGAGGTTGGGATCTTTGTTGCCCCAGGGCTACTCCTGGGAGCCAGAATACTACCCACCAGAGAGCTCCCTCTCTCCATACCCATAAACAAATGCTTAATACCTGGGATCCTAACCAATGCCCCTCCTATGGTCCTTGGAGTCTGTATTTCAAGAGCTTACCTGCATTGTAGTTTATCACATACTGTTTATTTACATGTTTAAAACTTGTCAAGTTCACTTCTCTCTTTCAACGTCTTTCCTGCTGTGACATGTGACTTAGGCCTATGAGAAGAACTTTTCATAGGAGAAAGAGCTAGTGGTAATCTTTTCATCTTGCTGTGGTTTTAAAATATCAGGGTCATTTTCAGCTTAATTTGACCATGTATAGTGAGCATCAGGATCTTCTTGTCACTATATTGGACACGGAACTATGTTATTGGTGTGACAGGGAAATCATTTCTTCCCTGTTGATCCCAGAGATATAGAAAGGAGGAAGTAATTCAAAAGAGAATTCATGCTGAGAGGGGCACAGGAGCTGTCATGTTTAGTGTGTGAACTTGGCTCTGTCTGTTCTCCAGTCTGCAGTGCAGTTTCTGTTAATTAAGATGAGCTGTGAGGGCAGCCCAAGGTGAGCTCTAAGATCCTGTCTAGCTCTGTGATGATGAATAGTGACAGTCACTCTGGGGTAACCCTCTTTTTCTCCTGAGCCTTAGGAATAGGGAGGAGCCCAGGTGCTTAGCAGGAAAGGTGAGCCACACCCTGGCCATGAGTCAGATTTCTAATCTACTCAAGTTGGGAAAGGTTGATTTTGGTGGAGCCCATGGCACATGCTCTGCCTCTGTTTGTTTTGTTAGGAATTATATTTATACGGAAGGGCATTCCAAAGCAAGGCTCTGCCTTGTGGGGAGCCCTTCTCTGCCATTAACGACTGGCAAAGTTATGACATTGTTCTCTTCATCCTGCTCCTTCGTTTTCTGTTACCTTGGGGACATAGAGGAGTAAGAGCAGGGATAGGACCTGCGACATAGTTTGCAAGGCTCAGAACAACAACAAAAAATGCATTTAAGAACTTCAAGAGGGTGACAGCAGAGAAAAGCAAACACAGAGCCCTTCTCTAGGCAGGTCCTGTGCCACTGAACAAGCAGATGCCCATGGAGTCACTCTGGATGAAAGTGGGTCAGGGAATGAGATTGGGACCTGCAGATGAGAGTAAGGCATGGCCTCACCAGGCCAAAAGATGCCTTCTCTTACCAAAGCCCCGAATGGAACATCTGCACTGTGTGTGAACAATGGTGCAACTATTACTGTAGTTTGGTGCCCAGATCATCTCAAGATATTAGGCTTAGCTTCTGTGGGAGTCAAGAACAGACCCTGCTTTGCAAAGGAGAAACAGAGGTCAAGATAGTAGAGGTGATTTGCTGAAGGTCACTGTGCTTGTCAGTGGTAGAATGAGGACTCTATCTGAGGCTGCCTAACTACCATGCCTGTGCCCTTTCTAATCCCCAGTGAAGCTGAGTAACAATGAAATTATTCTTTTTCATTGTGAATTCAATTGGAGCTTGGGAATAAGAGTGAGATGTGGGAAGGGAAATGAGATAAATGCTGACTGAATGGAGAAAACAAAACAATTTAGAAAGCCAAAGCAGTTTGTCTGAGTCCTATCTGATGCACAACATACAGCAAAGCAGACAAATGTCTGCAGCAAAACAAAAGCAGATATTTTCAAATAAAATATGCATATTTCCCACCAGCCCTGAGCTCATCTGATAAGGGACAGATTGTCCACAGTAAATAGAGAGGGAAAAAGATGCTTTGGGCTGAATTTAGTCCCCTGTCAAAATCCGAGAGGGGCTTATTGTTTCTCCCTTTGTGACATGTTGCCTCTTTATCTGCAAGGCCTCTTAAGGTTTTGAAGGAAAACAGAGTAAGTTAGCTATTTATTTGCTTATTCATTTGCCCATCCATCAAATATTTCTTGAGTACCTACTTAGCATTTTACTGTGCTAGTCCTAAAAGAATGTTTAAGATGAGTACCCTCTTTTAGAAGAGGGTAGACAGATGTGTATCGGGACAGAAAACTAACCATAATTGTTGTGATGCTGGTGGCATATGCCATGTACTGTTGGAAATCAAGAGAAGAAGAAATTCATGCTGATTAAATTTCTCATTTGGTGACCTGCTTGTGTGTTCCTATTTGCCTAAAAAAAAAAAAAAGTCACTAGTATCTATGCATTGTCATTGAGCTCTTCTTTCCCAAAGGCTCCTAGGAAGAAGATGTAGCTTGGGGTAGGAGATAATTTTCTTGTAGAAAGTACTCAGATACCCTTGCTGATACATACTGATCCTTCTCTGCAAGATCAACCATGGGGAGGACCTGGGATGAGGTGGATCTGGCTCCTACCTGATCAGTATCTACATACTTGTGCTCCTCCCTCCCTGTCTGCCAGCCCCAGCAGTAAGTAAGAGAAGAGCCTGCTGAGGCCAGAGAGAGAACTAGCTGTGTGATCATCCACATGTCACTCTGACCCCCTCTGGAAAATGGCAGGAGTGGAGGATGTCTAATCAACCAGGACTTCCTGTATTCTTTCTCACTGACACTAGGATTGAAGGAGAGGATCAAGGAGAAAAACTTATAAAGACTATCATAGAGGAGAGGAAAGAGAGAAAACACCAAGAGAAATGATCTTTAAATGCCTACCTAGAGAACTTATTCTGTGATCCTCTGTTCCTTGGCAGTTGAGCATCCACCAGGAAGTCTCTGCATAGGCTTTGACATTGCCGGAAATGGTAGGCATAAGGTGAATCTCATGTGGATCATAGGAATAGTGCTTCATACCCACCTCAATTCTTGGAACTTATGGAGCTCTTCTCACCTCCAGGATCTCACTTCTTGTTCTCTCAACTGCACTGGGTGGTGAGTGCAATCTGTAATTTTAATTCTCAGAAGCAACTGAGACTTTGGGAAACTGAGCTACTTGCCCTGATGCCAGTGAGTGGCAGAACTGGGACCAAAGGCTAGGTTTTCCCTATGATGTTCTTTCTCCTGGATGTGTTGTGCTTCCTGCCCCACTTTACCACAGCTGGAGTATGATGGCAGCGCAGCACCAGCTGGGGAAGCATCCAGTGTCTCCTGAAGATGGAACATTTATTAGACAGATGCCATGTGAACAAGTGAGATCCTTCCACAGAATCTTTTGCTCCTTAGAATAGCATGCTTCATTATGCTTTTATGTATATATAAATGTGCCACCATGTAATCTGCCCTTTGGTATAACTAATATGCACCCATAAAAAAATAACATACTGGAGACAGAAGTGCATCATTTGGTTCTACTCTTCAAAGACCAGGCTGGATTTCAGCTCTCTTTGTCCCCCCAACCCCATCTTTTTTTGTCCCCACCCTAAACCATCATAAAGACAATTAGAGCTGAGTGGGGACAGTATTTGTCTTGCAATTACTCTTAAGTGCTCTGTAGTTTTGTGGGATCTAAGTGGTATGACCTAGATACCAGTTCTGAGAAACTGAATTCAGCCAGGCTCTATGTAGAGAGGGGCATGAATCAGTTAGATCAGGCAATGTGTCTCAGTGCAGTGAGTGGATGACATAAAGCTCTACTTCTACCCTCTGTGCTTGTTGAAACCCTAGCTCTTTTGAGAGCTCAGATCCATTGCTACCTCCCTTTCTGGGAAGCCTCCCTGGAATTTCTCCCTTTTAGAGTATTACAGCATTTGTTCTGCTTTTTTACTTGCCAACTGCAAGAAATTGTGGAGAATGTATTGAAGAAGAAAATGTAGTTATTACCTTTGAGGGCTCACAATTGTGTGAGGAGAAAACACACACACACACACACACACACTCACACACCTGTAAAACAATGTCACATGACAAATTCTCCAATAGGAAGCCTGAAAAGTCATTCCATGTGTACATGTGTCTGTTCTCACATACTGATATACATGTCTTCTACATATATGATATAAAAGTGATGGTGATGTTTAAAAATCACCAATATCCAATAAATCAAATCATCATGAAGAATATTATTAATAGGAATGTAGGCCTGAGACTTGAGCTTTATTATTGTCCTTGGGAACACATAGATGCAATGCAAGAAGGGACGGAAGACTACTCCTGCTCACCATGGTCAGATGTCAATCAAAGAGGAAGTTGGCAAGAAAACCCAGTACTTCCTGAGGGAGAGGACAGGAGAGGTGTGTCATTGCAGAACCAGAAAGTTCCCACCCACAAACCCAATTCCTTGCCTCTGACAGGTTAAGTTCCACCCTATAAACATTTTCTTTCCTTTTATTTGACCTTTTGTTTGAGAGTGAGTACTTAACTCTCAGCCAACTTGGTAGGTGAGTTTCTGATCAGATTGGATTGTTAGCACTGGGGACTCTCCTGTTTGGCTTCATCTGAACCAGCCATACCTCCAGTGGCCACTATATTTGTGGTCTACCTGCCTTTGTCCAGGTAAAGAAAGAAGAGCCTTGAGGACTGGCCACAGCCTAGCCAGGTAAGACTAGGTGGCTGCTGATTTTATAGAGATGGGGTGTCTCTCTATGAGCTGATAGCTCCTATTGCTTAGGCTGAGTCTCTGGCCACCCCCACCATGGACTTACAATTTGATCTAGGCTCATAGTTTTGCATGACCATGTGAAATTCCTTTATTCTTCCTCACTGGCCAGGGTGGATGAGGTTTGTAGACCTTATCTATATATCAACTTTATCAACCGTATCTATATATCGACTTTGATCTTGACTGCTTTGTGAACAGGGTGGGATGGGTATAATTTTCTCCATTTAGTGATTCAGTGAACTGAGGCTTAGTCAGTTGATGTGATCTGATTCAAGTCTGAGCAGCAGGTTAAGGCCAGCAAGAGGTCTGTATCCCCCTTCTCTCTTCCTCTGCTGTACTACCCAGCAGGGTCACACCTTAATCTGAAAAGCCCAAAGTGAAAGGGCTCCCTGAACTTTCAAGTGGTGAACAAAAGGTGATTACTTCTTGGCATGCAGGTTGAGAAGGATATGTTTTTAATTCACCTGAGAGTGACTTTATAATGATATATAGGCTCTGTCACACAGGGCTGTTTTCAGAAACAACAAATGAGAGCATGTATGTAAAAAGATCTTATAAACTGAAAAATGATATGCAAATGGGAGAGACATGACTATGTGGAGCCTGGTAAATGCTTTAAATCTCTGTATAAGCAGATTTTAATTTGGGGCTGAATGACATTCTTCTAATGTCAGCAGCAGCATTGTAAAGCACAGATCACAAGGCCCTTGGGAAACATTTGAGCTTTTCAGTCTTTCTGTGGTATGTGAAAAAGCAAACCTTAACGGTGTAGGGGGGGACACCCCCAAATCCTTTCAAACTGACTCTTGCAATTTCCTCTCTTATGACAGTTATCATCTTATCTCATTGTTCTACAGTTTTAAGAAAATCTCATCTTCAGTGATTATGTAGTTTATTTTTTTAAGATGCTAATTTTAGAACTATCATTTTCCTCTTTGTGCTCAAAAGGTTAACTCATTTTTAGTTGTGAAATGAAATGTTTCCTGTGTGTATTTGTGTGTGTGTGTGTGTGTGTGTGTGTGTGTGTGTGTGTAAGAGAGAAAGAGAGACAGAGAGAGAAAGAGAGAATCTGTCAGTTTGGGTTTGTTATAGCAGTGCTAATAATAATATTCTTCCCTGTGGACCCACCACAATGCACTGGGTGGCAATGCCACATAGTCTTTGGCATTCTTCTGTATATTCTTCTTGTCTTCCCAGCTAGAAGCATACTGAAGAAATTGTTCAATCAATGACCTTAGACAAAATAGAGAAACTTGTTCCAGAAAGATGAAGTGATATGAACAAAATGTGATTGTTGGAATCACAAGTTAAATGCATGTCTCTTACTCTTCCACTGACCATGACAATTAGTGAATGGTGCTGGGAATCCCAAAGCCACAGCATTAACCTGTGTCATTATGGAGATTGTACTCAGGTGTCCTATAACATTCCTTTCACTTCAAAGTTTTTGGCCCTTTGACTTTGCTTAGCATCTCTAGTGGTAATGTCATTATACCTTGTAGAGTAGGGGAAATTGACTTTGTTCTTGTGAAATATTTGTTTCAACCAAATTTTGGAACCACTTATTAGGTGTAGGATAGGAAATGGGCAAAAGGTGGTGGTGCCCTCATTTAATTCAGCTAATTTGGAGTTTGATATCTTGGATATCAAACTCAGTTATTTGCAAACTGAAGTATTAAGCTGGCTGATACTGTGTCAGGATTCTTTTAAACAGATATCATTCAGTTCAATAGTTTCAGAATTTTCATGCTAGTTAATTTTTTATTCAACATTATAGAATCTATTGGCAGGGTCAAGTTTAAGGCTTCATTTAATCCAGAGGTTGCAGTCCAGCAGCTACAAGTGAATACAGCATGTAAATGTGTTTGTTTTTTAATGTGCTTGAGTGTTAAATAAAATCAAACTAGTTGCAAGTATTCAATGTCCTGGAATTTCTTGTAAAAATCCAAATATCTCATTGTTTAGGAGGACCAGGGGGTTTGTTATCAAACAAGATATGGATCCACACACCAGCTGTGTTTGGGCAGCATCTGCTTCCTGTGGAGGGAGCATGTGCTCCCCAGGCGTTTTCAGCCCCCATTTAAGCTACCAGGTATTTTAGTTTGTCCCACTGATTTTGTCTAACCTCTTAGGTGTTGGAATTCCCCTAAATAATTCTCTTTCAAAGGAAATTTAGCTCTACACATCAATAGCCTAACTTGTGATCATTGTCACAAGGAAGTAGGTGAAATTAATTCCTTGGCCCTAACCTCTCATTATGTAAGAGGTAGGGGTAGATAGGATGGCTTCAACAGAACAAACCTTGAGTTCTGATACCTACCCACAATATTTTCTTGAGATGGATATCAAACTCAGTTATTTGCAAACTGAAGTATTAAACAGGTTGATACTGTGTCAGCATAATCTCCAGAGAGTAGGAAGGAAATCTGACACTTGCTGAATAAGGCCCTTTACTCAAGACAACAATTTCATAGAAATAAGGAAAGACGTTTTGATGCACAATAGCATATGGATAGCAACATGGTGCTCTATCCAAAGAATATAAAATAAATGACTGAAGTCCTGAAAACTTGGCCAATGATATCTTTTCTATCATATCTCCATTAATAAATAGTCACCCCTTGACCACTTGATATATGTCCTTAAGTTTAAGGATATAGGAATAAAATATAGTGACTCTTCCCCAAAGGGTCTTCAATTCAGTAATGAAAACATGTATACAAATGAACAAAACAAAACAGAATGAAAAATAAGTAAGTACATAAATAAATGATGCAAGAAGAAAGCAAATGCTGTGGTTAGAAAGTGGCATTTGAGCTAGACTTTGTACATAAAGGTGAGAAGACTTTCCAGCAAAAGAAGAGTTTAAGCAAACTCAATTCCATACTGCTTGAAATACACTTAAGAAAGCATTCACTGTGGCTATGCCTAGGGCCAGTGGACTGAAGTAGAATGAGGCTAGATATCTGATTCTACACCAGATGGTGGATGCTGAGTTGCAGGGATAAGGGTTTCCTTCAGGTACAACATGGTGAATCCAATGAGCACTATGACTATTAGCCAAACACTGGTCTGTGCTCATGTCTATGCAGCTTCATAATTTGTTAGTAACAGAGCACCTTTAACATGTAGTTTAACTCTTCTCCAAGTTTTTCAGGAGAATTAATGGGAAAAAAGCAGAATTTAGCACTGGCAATATAGTGGACAATATTAGATGCTAAGTGCAGGAGGCAAGGTGGTAATCTACACTGGAATCAGAAAAGTTGATGAAAATATTTTTAAAATACATTGAGAAATATTTTTTAAAGTGATAGAGATTCCTTTTGGTTCCCCCCACCTTTCTATCAAAGAAAGTCTATTCTGGGTTATCTGAAAATGAGAAAAGTGAAGTTGCATAGGTTCTTCTAACTTATGTGATGGGGAGAGTTATTTTTGCTTGATGAACTTCATTCTTTGGTCTGGAGAGCACATTCTACCTGTAGAATAATTATAGAAGGTTCTTGGGATCTCCTGACCCTGTATTCTTCCATAATATATAACTAATATGTGAGTGCTTCACTGTGGTTCACAATATTCCTGGGTTGAATTCGTGAAGGGAAGGTTCTTATCTTGCAAAGCGTTTCTCTGGTCACCACAGCAATTGCTCATACAACCCCAGTGTCAAGATATTTTGTAAATAATCAAAAGTTTCTCATTTTCAAGCACACAGTCTTGTGGGATGACTTGGAATTATCCCTGTATCTCAAAGGTCTGTGCTTCAAGGGAGATTCACAGATGATGAGATGCAGAACAAAGTGGAGAATATGAACAAGACATTTGTTTAAAACTATTGAATACCTGTTTAATTAAGACTCTGTTCAAAATTCATTCATTCAAAACTATTTGCTGGATATAAGTTCTAGTTTTCATCTTTTTTACAACACCATAAATAGTTCTGATAAGAGCAGTAGTGAACATAAAGAATAATTCCTGCTTTCAAGGAAAATACATTTTGATGAGACAGATGGAAAATAAAATCAATTGGTAAAATATATATGAAATATTATAGAAGAGAGAAAGTTATGAATAGGAAGTTGGGGGTAGCTGAGATCTCGGGAAGGGTACTCAGGGAAGGAATAAGACTCTACTTGAATAACCCTTACAGTATGAGGGAATCTGTCATACCAGCATCAGGGAACAAGCATTCTCTGCAGCTGGAACAGCGACTCTGAGGCAGGAGCATTCCCACTGGCACCTTTGAAAAATAAAACATGAATATTATATTAGAAAGAAGATCCTGGCATGGTGGTAGGAGGCAGTGATAAGCCATGCACCTGTCAGGTATGGACATTCACTCTGAATGAAATGGAAAACATTTGCAGATTTGGGCAGTGGAGCAAATAGTTTGACTTACATTTCAAAAGAACCCTCTATCTGTGGTTTGAGGACAGATCAGGGTGGAATGGGGAGGGTAGACAGAAGCAGGAAGGTTCCTTAGGGAGTTAGTGCTTTGATCTGGATAAGTAATGTGGAAGTGTGGACAAACTATGTAGTCATGGGCATGAGGAGAACATTTAGATTCTGGTGATTGATTGACTAAATGGGAAATCATGATACAGGAGTAAGTCAAGGACAATCCTATGATTTTTCTGGAGCAGATGGTAGAGAGGAACAGCTTTTATTGGGGTAAATAGTATAAGAGAAACATGTTTTTGAAGGCATGTCAGGAGCTTACATTTGGATAGGTAAGGTTTGAGATTTTGAGTTGTGAATTCATATATGAATCTGGAATTCAGTGAAGATATCTGAGCTAAAGATAAAAATTGGCAGTCATTAATACATTCATGATATTTACAACAATGAAATTAAATACAATCATCAAAGGAGTGGGTATAGACAGAAAGAAAAAGATATTTATGACTGCCTTCTGAGATGCTTGGGGTTCAAAAGTGAGGGGT